TTGACTTACGAAGTAGTAGATGTTAAAGATAGTAATGTAGATCAAATCGTATTCTTAAAAAGAGTGTTGTTATCGTCGTTTCATCGACAGGCTTCCGCGAAGGCCGATCCCGTTCACTTACGGACACAAACCATTGCATGCGTGTGCAATAGCATGGTAGCCTTCATTTGGTCCCCTTAAATTGGGTTCCAACGTTGGGATCCAGTTCGATAACTTGTCTAGTACGTCCATTCCCCAAATAGTCGCCCTCTCCTTTCTAGTGTCAATCGTTTCGTGAAGGCATCAGCGAGGTTCAACATTCCTGCAATCCACGATACGTCGACGACTCCTGCAGCCACGTTCCACCTGGTGTAATGATAAGCAATCGAATTATGCTTCTTGTTCAAAGTGGGTTCGACCATTGTTGAATTCGTCACCACGCTCTCGTTGTCGCAGAATACGTGCGATGGTCCTTCTTCCAAAGGTATTCCGAACATCCTCAATTTGAATCTCAAATGCGTGATGGCTTCAATGCATGACTTCAAAGCAATGAATTCGGAACCAAAAGTACTCGCTTCTACCGTATTCTGTCGCTTGCTGTGCCATAAGATAGGTGCTCGATTGAGGAAAATTATGTACCCTGTATGTGATTTCCGCGTTTTCTCTTCCGTCGCATCTCGGTAGTATGCCTCAAAATCTTCCCTGGAGGATCTTAACTTGGATTTCGCAGACTCCAATTGGGCCTAAAAGAGTTTCAATGATGTTTTTGGGCTGACAGTTGTTACTAGCTGTTGGCCCCCAATCCCCCAGCGCAAGCGCTGGTTTCCTCCATTTGGCCATCTTGTTGCCGTCCAGGGTGTGGTGGGTGGGAAAGACGCTAGTGTCCGACATGATTCACAAGAACGTCGGTGAAGCGTTGCATCAAAGGCTCGGACTGGGTGTGAAGATACCAAAAAAACTTCATCTGAGCGCCATCGACCAAGTAGTTTGATGAGACTAGTCGGGATATTGTCGCCCGTCGTGTGTTGACTCTGTCGAAGGTGCCGGATGATGGCAACCAGCGTTGCTGTTGGGTTGTCACCGTTAAATGACATGCCCAAAACGATATTTTTGTCTGGCACCGCAATTTTTTGCTTGTCAAATATCAGACCGGCGAATGTCACAAGTGACGTGTCCAGGAGGCGAAGTGGGATGACGTCGCCACGGAATTCTGCGTCGTTGATACAAAAAAACACTTGCTTCAACTTGAAGGGAAATTGCGTTCCTGCCATTGACAGAAATTCGCCAGGACGTAACAAAAAGAAACAATCTAGCCACATCAATCGATTCATAGCTTTGGCGGCATTGGTACTGGTGGGTTTTTTGGTGAGCTTTGACGCTTGCCGTAACAAGGCCTTTGGCAATGGGCGAACTCGTTGTGCTGCTGGATCCGCCTTCTTCCAACTTTTCAGCAGCCGTGTCCAACGAAAGTCCATGGTGCCCGGCGCATACCGATTCATCCTCGGATCGAGAAGTCCCAATGAGGAAAAGGCCTGGCCCACCTGGCGCATGGCATCTTCAGCCGTTCGACCCCGGACCTATCTCTTACTGGGGGCAATTTTTCCACGTCGCGATTGGGTTCCAAAAATGAGGATGATGAGGAGGGGATCATCGACCGTTGACAATCCTGGGTCGAGGGTGAGGCTGTCGCAGAAAGCAACCCATGTGGTCCAGACAGAGTGTGCCTTTGCAACTCTTGAAGGACAGACTCCGCGTTCGATTCCGAGTTCAACAGCATGGATGTCATCAAGGAGTTCACGGCGGTCGGCATCCTATACAGTTGCCAAGAGTTGATCTGTAGATAAGTGCGATTAAAATATGAGACAAATTCGTCATCAGAAAGGTGCCACAGGCGGCTGGCATCGTCGGCCATTCGATTGTCCACTCCAGATAAGTGCCCAATACGATGATGCGCTCTTTGTTCCCGTTGCAGTCCTGCCGCTAACCGTAATATTCTTGCTCTCGCCTTTTGGGATGTGGAGGATCCTTTTGTGTGCCACGATACTGCTGGGGTGTTGTCGCAGCCAGTGCAAGTGGTCTCGCCTTCCACCTGAGCGCTTTTTCCAAGGACAAAATGATGAAGGACGGTGCCTTCCAGTTCCAGATCTGAGTTGGTAAGTTTTCCTGTCAGATTGCGATCCGAGATAACCTCCTTTTTCACTTTGTCTTGATATGGTTCGTGCCAGACAATGGCCTCTCCATCATCTGTGAACCACACTCCTCCCATTCCAGACTTTGCCGTATTGCAGGCGCCAACATGTAAATCAACGCCTGGAACCAGTTCCTCAAGTGTTGTGGGGCGCTTTGCATGTCCATGAAGAAAATCTTGGAAGATTTCCAGTTACTCACGGACCTCAGGAGTCAACCGCACCCTACAATCCACCTGCCCAATCAATGCATCTTGCAGCAAGGAGAAATGTCCCTTGCTGCCCGACATTCCTGGCTGCAGGCTTTGTAAGACTCCTAACACCTGCTGCCATCGTTTCAGGGAGACTCGTTTGCAATCCAGGACCTCGCCAAGGAGTGACAGGGCCTTGCTCACTCGTTTTTCTTTCAATTGCAATATCTTTGTCGTCGCTCCCCAGTTCCAACCCAAGGCTTCTTTGACTGTGTGCCAAGAGGCATCCCCCTTGGCCATTTTTGATTGTCGTAAGCGTACACATCCGCCGATCTTGGTGTGTAGCTCATGATAACAAAGTTCTTGCCAAGGCAACAAGTGTCGGCGTTAGTATCCATTTCATTGCTCGCCGTCGTTCCTGGTGTTGGTTGTTGCACCGGTAATGCATCAGTTATATATATATGCACCGGTCGTTGGGATGCAGCTGTGTTGGATGAGATCACCCTTACGGTTCGTCTGATCTCACTTATCGCGTTTCAGGTCCTACCGCTTGCCTGTTGGTTGTTTGCCTGTTGGTTGCGTCCGCCCATTGCTGTAGTTCCAGTCGTTCCCACAGTCACTTGTGATATCTGCGTGGCTGCTTCGGCTGGAATCGTAGCAGGTACGTTGTTGGATCTAATCGATGCTACTTCGGCTCGCAATTCCGCCAGCTGCGTTTCCACTTGTTGTGTTTGTGCGGCCTGTCTTGTTGTTCTTCTCGCTGGCAATCCTTGACTTTCTCTGTAGTAGTATGCGGCTCTTTCCTTCGCCATGCGTTCACGTTGTTTATTGGTAAACGCTCGTAGGTGTGTTGGAGAGAAACGGTAGCTAGGATGGTACCAGATCTTCTCTCCATTACTCAGAGTAATTTCTTCTTCGTCGCGACGTTTGTTGCCTCCTCCATCCTTTCGGCTCCTGCTTCTGTCGCGATTGTTGTCAGCTCTAGTTTCGCTCAAGTATCGTCCCCTATCGGTTGCATTGCTGGTTCCTTGGGGAAACTTTTCTCTCACTGCAGTTTGGTAGATTTGTAATGCCGTCGTGAAAGTCATCAACATCGGTCTTTTGCCAATTTCCGTATCAATTGCCGTCTTGTTCAGTTGTAAAATGGTGCTGTAACCTTGCTTTGTAGGCTACGCAGTTTCATTGCGTCTGAATGGACTTCTCTCCCCTCATGTTTGTTGCATGCTGCATACGCTTTCTTTAGCATTCGTTCAAACATGGACCAGTTCATTTTTGGTTTTTCACCGATGTAACACAGTTCTTTGATGGTGTGTTCAGCTTCGACAATGTCGCTGGCTAGTATCCCTTCACCTTCATAGTGGGTACGTAGTGCGTTGAATGCTTCTCTTCCATTGCCTGCAATGTTGATGGCTTGGAGAGTCGCTTCAGCTTCGGTATTCCCCACGATAAACTTGCTTAGAAGGACTAGTACTTTGGCGTTATCCATGACGTATGCTTCGCCAATGTGTGGTGCCATGTTGATGTAGATTTCCAAGAAATCTTCGTGCGGGTGAGTATTCCTGCATCGTTCATTCTCACAAATGGCACACCGTCTCTTCCTTGTATGGTGCAAAGGTAATTTTCGAATGTTGGGCACCAATCTTCCCATTGGACATTGTTGGTGAAATCCTGTGGTAGCGCTTGTTGCGACATCAACTTGGAGCCATACACGTATTGCTCGTGTGTTTTCATGCGTCTGAGCAGTTTGGCTGCATCAACGACGGGAAATGGTGTTGTGGTAGGGTCTTGTCCCATGCAAATCTCGTCTCTGCACCATTGGATGAATGCGCGGATGTTCTTTTTGATAGCTGGCATCAAACGTATCTGTCCTTGCGCAATTGTCAATCTTGTGAGGGTCTTGAACTCTTCGTTTAGTTTGTCAATGGTGCTATCCATCGTTGTGGTGAAATCGTCCGAGAATATTTTGTAAGCAATTCTCTCGGTTTGTGTGCGTCCTTGGAAAAGGGTGACATTGTCAATGCCACAGATGACCATGTCGTCATGTACAGTGAAGAAAGGAGGAACGGCGGCCATGTTGCCTGTATCAATGTCATACATCAAATTGTTAGTTCACATTTCTTTTATTTGTAACAGTTTTCATTGGTGTTGTTCAGCACGATTCGTAACAGTTTTCGTTGGTGTTGTTCAGCACCATTTGTGGCAGTTTTCGTTGGTGTTGCTCAGCACCATTCGTGGCAGTTTTCGTTGGTGTTGCTCAGCACCATTCGTGGCAGTTTTCGTTGGTGTTGCTCAGCACCATTCGTGGCAGTTTTTGTTGGTGTTGCTCAGCACCATCATTCGTGACAGTTTTCGTTGGTGTTGCTGAGACTGTCTAAAAAACTACCAAGTCCATAAATGTTTGCAGGTGAATTATAAATGTCGTGAATGTCATAAATGTCGACGATTGTTGAAGGATGTCGTGGACTGTCTGCACGATGTCGTTGAATGTCGTGAAATGTCGTGGAATGTCCCTAAAAGTCAGAAAATCGACGAATTTGAGGATTTATAAAAAATGGGTTGAACACCAGCACATTGATTTTCCTCCACCCATCAAAACAGCAGTTCCTTCATGTGTGATTTGGAGGCTGGCGAGATTTTAAAAAGTAATTAGTATTGTGTTTTTATATTGAAATCATCACCGCAACGACTCTTGGAAGTGCATTGAAAATGCAATAACTAATACAATTTATGAACTACATCCATTGGATCCTTTCATGGCCTATTGGACCGTCTTGTCTTGGCCTACTGGATCTATTTGCTTGACATCATCATCGGCATATTGGATCCCTCACTTGCGGAACTGCTTGTTCCCACAAAATAAAACATTGTGCTGCAAAGTATCTTATTCTGCTTTCTACCTACCAATCTCAAATTCTTCATATCAAAGGTCCCCACAAAGGAGGAGTCAACAACAATACAATGCTGAAAGAGAGCTGTGTTTTGGAAAAACTCAAGGCAAACAACAAAGCTTGTATTGTTGACCGTGGCTTTCATATGGCGGAAAAAGAATTTGAGGCTTGCTTATCGTTCCCAGACCTAATGGACAGCAAAGAGTTGCACTCTCACAAGACACGGGCAAGATTGCGCCAAGAAACATTCAATGCTCAATTAAGGCATTTGCTGTTCTTTGCCACACTTTCCCAGGTAGCTTTGAAAAGCATGGTTTGGTCTTAAAGGCTGTTGCAAGCACTATACAATCACTATACAATATCAAATGGACCATGGGTCCCCATTGTATGAAGTCTAGAGTAGGTTCGCTATTGTAGATAACAAATATTTTAAAAGTATCATTGCTAAAAAATCTCAAAATGTACAAAAAAACGTGCAAAACATCTCTGTCGTCAAATATCGTGGAATGTCGTGGAATGTCGTCAAATGTCGTGGAATGTCGTAGAATGTCGGAAAATGTCGGAAAATGTCAGAAAATGTCGTGGAATGTCGGCAAAATGTCGTGGAATGTCGTAGATTGTCGAGGAATGTCGTGAAATGTCGGGTGGCCTTTGAATGTCTACCAAAAACTTCGTGGATGAAAAACGGTCGGATATTTTTTCTGACAGCTTTGGAAAATCAAAACGTATTAAAATATCGGAAAAACTGTTTTTCAGCACGATTGTCGGCTCTTACATTATGCAGGTGCAATTTTTAGTGGGTTTTCAGCCAATGAGAGTTAGTCAAATCACTAAAAATCAACCCATTTTTAGTGGTCTGAACCAATCACAGCGGGCTATTCACTAAAAAT